ATCTATAAAAGAGAGTCGGAAAGATTTAAGACCAAAAACCGAACCAATGACCCCAACAGAATAGTTAATCGAAGCAACTACCTAATAAAATTTGATAATTTTTTTATTTTAATTTAATGATTCATTAGAATTAAAATAAAAAAAATTTTATTGAATTCTATTTAATTCTATTAGATGATTACTAAATATCATCATCTAAAATTTTAAATATCTACTCAATTAAAATTATTTTAAATTTCAAACTGAGATATCTTGGTAATCATCTAATAAAATTTGATAAAATTTTTTTTTAATTTTAATAATTCATAGAAATAAAATAAAAGAGTTTTATAAATTTTATTAGATAATTACTGAGATATCATTGTTCAAAATTTTAAATATCTACCCTAATTGAAGTTGCACTGCAATTATTTTAAACTTTAAACCAAGATATTTTAGCAATTATCTGATATAATTAGATGAAAATTTTTTTATTTTAATTTTACGAATTTATAGAATTAAAATAAACAGGTTTTTATCAAATTCTATTAAGTAGTTATCGAGATATTCTCATTCAAAGTCTTAAATGTCTAATAAAATAAAAGCTATACCAAAACTATTTTAAACTTTAAACAAAAATATCTCAACAAGCATCTAATAAAATTTAATAAAATTTTTTTTATTTTACTTTTACAAAATTATAAAATTAAAATAAAAAAGTTTATTAAGTTTATTATATAGTTACTAACAAAATTTAAATAAATTAATAGATTATTTGGTACAAATAATACAAAAAAATTAAATATACTTAGATAAATATTTTTTTATTTATAATTATTTACAATTCAATACTTAATTGTTTAATCTAGTTTTTTGGGTGATGATATCTTAATAATCATTTGGGATCTTTGCTAGAAAAATGATTTTTAAGACTATGTTGATTTTGTGAATAAATATTAAATTTGCTAACCATTTAGTTATCCAATTTGAATAAAATTTTTTTTATTTTGCAGATTCTATTGAGATTTATAAAATAAAAAAAGTTCATTCAAATTTGATGACTAGATGGCTAGTAAATTTAATTTTTATTCACAAAATCAACATAGTCTCAAAGGTTATTTTTTTAGCAAAGATCCTATTTAATAGAATTTAATAAATTTTTTTTTATTTTAATTCTATAAATCATTAAAATTAAAATAAAAAAAATTATTGAATTCTATTAGATAATTGCTAAGATATCTTGGTTCAAAGTTTAAAATAATTTCAGCACAACTTCATTTAGAGTAGATGTTTAAAAGTTTAAATGATTATATCTCAGTAATTGCCTAATAGAATTCAATAAAAATTTATTTATTTTATTTATTTTGGTCAATTATAAACCAGGTCATATGATTTATCTCCACTTTAGACAATCTCTAAATTTGAGGTCTGCTAAAACAAGTTTTATTTATTTGTATAAGTAATACAAACCAAAAAAAGAAATAAAATTTTGTAAATAAACTAAGTGCATAAAGATAGAAGTTTAGAGTTAAAAAGTTAATCTATATATAAAATTCATTTCGGATATTTTTAATTAGTATATTATGATCGATTTAAGCATTAGTTTTGATTATTTTTGCTTTTTTCTTCTTTCACACATATTTGAAATTCATGTTGGGCTAATCTGAAACTGTCAAATTTTGTGCACTCTGATCGGCTATTTTTTTTAGTAGTTTGTATTACTTGCATGTCCTGCTAAAGCCGAATAAATTTAATATAAGAATCTATATACTGCATAATTGTATTTTTGAGTGATCTCTAAATTTGGATTGTTTGTTATGCTTTATATTGGTGAGATAACTTATGCTCTGTTAAATATATCATATAATGTCTCAGGTTCCTGGTGCTGTGGTATTTGTACAAATTTTGTTCTTTCTTTTTAAAGGAAAGTCTACCAAAGAACTTATTCAGTCATGGTTTTGACAAAGCATTTATCACCTAGTTAAACTTGAACTTGCTATCTTGCGATTATAACCTAGAAGTGCTAACTACTATGCTATTGACCTACAGGTTCATATTCAAATTTGTAATTTAGTACAACAAAAATATGCATACTTACACATTTGTATTATACTATATGATGATTATCATATGCTTCAGACTAGAGTTGATAGCACAGAAAAAAATTTGAGCATGCCTCAGAGGTAGGGTTCAGGGTACAGAAGTATGAGTATACTCTTGTCATGTAATGTTTAAAGTTATTTTAATTGTCTAATAAGTTCAGATAAACTAGAATCATAGATACTAAATTAATATATGAGATTTTTAAGAAATTGTAAACTATATGTTAAGGGATATAACAAAAATCAGGTGATTTTTAGGGGTAAGAAGGGATAAAAAATTTAAAATTATATATAAAGACTTGATCAAGATATAGTAAAAAAGGGAGAGAGAGTAAGCTTCTGATAAAAAAATCAGATAATAAATAATACTGTCCTAATCACATAATTTAAAAAGAGCATATCTAATTTTTTTCTGTGCTATGAACTCTACCCGAAGGGCATGCCTCTGGCTGAGATATGCCTCTCTTATTGTACCTGGGGCATGCTTTCTATATATAACCAGATGCTATATTACTAGATCTATACTCAGGTATAATATCCGTATTCTAATTAAAATAATTTTGAATATATCACGTCTTCTATATTTTTATTATTGTCTGTCATGCATGCCTTCTAGATATGCTTGTATCATATAATTATAAATTTTGATCATGTAAAATTGAAGTACTCTGATTGGCTACAAGACCTAGTAACTATCTCTGCCCTCGAGCCAAATAGCATGCCGTAAAACACTGTATACCCAACCTACTCCGAACATATATTAGCCTAATAAATAATAAAATAAAAATAAAAAAGCAACTGCTGATCTATCAAAAATGATACTTTTGCACTTATGATATTCAGACCTGTGACTTTAAAACAAAATGATTTTTGTATTTTGCAAAATATGTAAAATATGTTCATATGCCTCAGTTTTTATATCGACAATATAATTAAAGATTGAACGTGTTTCAATGTAATAGGCTTTTACTGTACAAAAATAAAACAAAAGAGTTAGAAAAAAGTGCTAGATTTTATACATAAAAATCTTTGAGATATTGTAAATTCTAATCTTGAATTTGACGTGATATAGAAAAAAAAAGCTCAGAAAATATTAGATAACTAGAAAGTATATGTACTGATGAGCTTTTTGTTTGAACAGTAATGAACTTTAAGTTTGACACTTAGTGCAAGCTAGGACTTTAAGTTTATAATAATGAACTTCAAGTTTGATACTTAGTGCAAACTGAAATACTAGATAACTAGAAAGTATGCATACTGATAGAGTAGAAAGAGCTTTTTGTTTGAACAGTAATGAACTTTAAGTTTGATACTTAGCACATGCTGGGACTTTAAGTCTCTAGTAATGAACTTCAAGTTCGATGCTTAGTGCAAACAGTCTTACAAGAACAGGGCCCTTAGTCTAATGCTTCTTTTACTCTATAGTATTACTGTTAAAATTACATTAATTATTCTTTATTTTGTCAAGAACTGGACTGCACCAGTAAAAGACTTTAAAAAAGATTGTGAAATCAAAGTCGATATAAAGATAAAACAGATAAACCAATTTTCAACCAGAGATAGAGCAATATACAATAACAATCATCAAGAGAAACATCATCGAAATATGGATGATGATAAAAAAAAGTTGAGTACTGAAGGAGCTACAATTCTGGCAAAAAAGATATTAATTCTTTCACAATGGATAGCTAAACATCAACAATCATTTATAACAAAAATAACAAATTGATATTTTTACCTTTTCATTTATAAACAAATACAAATCTAAATCTAAAAAAAGAACAAAAGTGGGAGAGTAGTTGTACCGGATTATCATGAATTATTTGAAGATACAGATGTTGAAATTTTCTCTGAAGAAACTACATATATAGATGAAAGCCTCTTTCAAAAAAATAAAGAGAAAGCAATAACCAAGCATTCTTTTAAAAATGCCTCTCAAGGAAATGATGAGAAAAAAACTATTCATGATGATATTGTAAGTAATTATTTAATAATATACTTTAACCAACTGATGTTTAACACTTTGATTTTTTTCTACCAGATAACAGATATCTTAAAAAATACTAAACACTCAGATACAACAAAAGAAATTTTTTCAATTTATAAAGCACAATACTCTGATAGCAATTTAATTGACCTCTAACTAAAATCATCTTTTTTAAACAAACTTCTAAGACAAATAGCAACATCATATCTAACGGAAATAGATAACATAACAGAAACATTAGTTTCTACAAATATTTATGAATTTCTTGTAAATTTTTTTTCACAAAACTTAACAACCGAGGAGTAGAATTACCAAATTGATAATTTAAAAGTACCAAGAAAAGATGATCTTATAATAAATGCAGTGGTATGAGTTTTATATCGTATATTGCCACAATTGTATATAGATATTATCATCATATTGATTTATTTTTTCAGATTCTGTTCTGAATACCGTATATTACCGAATAGAAGCTACCCCCGAATAAAAGCTACCCCCTTGATTTTGGATTAAAAATTTGGAGGAAGTTATTATGTTTTAATAATAAAATTGGACCCGAATAGAAGCTACTCCCTTTATTTAGTCCGAAAAACGCTCAAAATTTTGGTAGCTTCTATTCGGTAATATACGGTATTTATTTTTTTTGTATAGTATTAAAGCATTTTCGCTTAAAAAACAAAACCTACTTTTAAATATTTCTACAATAGAACATGTATATCTTAATGCTTTTATTCACCCATGTCTTGACGCTTCTTTGTGATATATTGCAGGTGTATATTATGAATATGGAGAGATCTTATCCAAAAACTATACTAATAGTAATCATGCTGATAGTACTGGGTATATGACAGATGCTAATAAGTATTAGCTTATTTATGTTAAAGGCTTGAGACCAGTAACAAAAGATAAAAAGAAAGTTGATGATATTAAAAAAATAATAAATAACTTAAAGAATATATTCACGAGAATTGTAAAGAAAACAATCGAAAGCAGACAATGTTTACCAAAGAAGCTGTATATATTCAGTGGCCAGAGTTTTCATCTTTGGATATATTTATACTTTCTTGATTATTGTGGTATGTGTTTTCTTTCAATTGAAAAATTACACTGTAAGAATATACTGATGATTTGTTACTAAATATTAATTCAGAAATATATAGATTAAATGAGATTGATAATGCAAATCTTTCTCAAAAATTTTCTGAAATGAAATTTTTCATTTATTTCTATAAATGTGTATTAAAATAGGCCGTATATATTAATGTGAATTTACATTATGATATTAAACTTTCACTAATCTTATGTATTTATAAATTTAGCTATTGGTTCATGATATTACAATATTCTTTGATGATGCAAGAGTTAAACAAAAACCTTCGTAACTTTCGTATACAAATGCTCTTCTTTAACTGAATTGATCTTTATTAATATTAAAAATAGTTGTAATATATGGGCATCTTGAACTGACTCGAAAATATAGATCTTACATAATTATGAATTTAATAATTTTATTTATGACAATATATATATATAATTACTAATATGTTAGACTCGTCGTTAAATGACAGACTATAATATGTGTTGCAAAGAAAAAACCCTGTTACTTAGAAATTGTATACTATAATATGTGTTATAAAGAGAAAAACCTGTCATTTAGAAATTATATGCTATAATATATATTGTAAAGAGAAAAACATGTCACTTAAAAATTGTATTTGGCAAATAATAAATTAAAAATTTGAGAGCAGGCTTTTTTTGACCTACCTAGTATGAAATAGATAGGGCAGAGGATTGATAACTACCCCAGTATCGCTATCAAAAATAGCAGTTTTATATGATGATCTATATCGACTAGTTAATAATTAATCACAATTTGATATAATATAATATGATTGCAAAGATCCAAAAAATGACGATTTTGTTAAAAAGCCTTCCGTGCACTAACAAAAAAAAATTTCTTATTTACTGTATCACCCCATTCTTTAACATTAGTTAAAATGCTAACTCTAAAATAAATGAACTTAAAAAATTTTTTTTTGATAGTCACGTGAAAGTGACATTTTTAATGGTGATACTAGCATAGTAGGCTTTCATTCTGATTGGCTAATTTTTGTAGATCATTTTGTGACATTACAAAGTCTGATTGGCTAATAGAAAACGAGTTTAAAGTTAAAAAAAATTTAAAAGTTATATTAAACAAAAAAATATATCTAAATTATAAATTTCAATTTATATTTAATAATATTTAATATCTAAATCCTAACAGTTATTTTCAAATGATATCTAATTAAATTTAATAAAAAATATTTTTTCAAGCTTAACAATTTAATAGATATGTAGATAATTTTTATTAATCTTTATTAACCAAATTACTTGCTAATTAGTATATACAAGATAAATAATCATTAATATGAAATGAATTATAAAGAAATACTAACTATCAATAAGGGATATGACAAAAATTAGATGATTTTTTAGGGGGAGGGGGTAAAAAAAGTTAAAATTATATATAAGAACCTGATTTTTTTT